TAAGTGATAAAATCATGATTTCATTTTCTGAACGCGCACATGCGTATACATATGAGCAAATAATAAGATTAATATGATAGCCGATATATGTATGTATTTATTGTTGTTGTGATAAATGTAATTTCTTTGAGTTTTAACGATTTGCCATTTTAGTTCAAACGTAAACATTGCATTTGAGATGGCAATCAACAGGACACAAGGCTGGTCGCATAGCGTGTGGCATAAATTTGGAAAAGCTATGTTTTTCACACGGCCAGTATACTTGGAGTGCTCACGAAATGGAAAACCATCTTTTCTGTACACCGGAACAGAAACCAAAACATGTTGTCTAACAAGCTGCGTTACATTGAAAAAAATTAAATGATAAATTTAACTTTCTTTTCATTTTAAAACACATAATTTCACACAGGACAACGGCTGCGGGGTCAGCTAGTGGTAGATAAAATTGGTAAAGACCTAACACAGCCGTCTTCTTACAGACCAATAAGTCTCTTACCCTGTCTTTCTAAAATATTTTAAAAGTGACTCTTTTCCTATACGAAAATAATAGGCACAATAGATTAAGTAAATAGAATTACTAACGTAATCAGGAAAGCATTTGAGCACAGGGAGTACTGTTCAGCTATTATTCTAGATGTAGCTCAGGCATCCGATAAGGTCTGGCATCAAGGCCTTTTATAGAAAATCAAAAACGCTTTACCTTACGAATTGCATAAAACTTTATAGTCATATTTAAGAAACAGAAATTTACAGTTAAAGTATTAGAATTCATATCAGAAGAACGCGTAATAAGGCCTGGTGTACCTCAGAGTAGCGTGCTAGGCCCAACTCTGTACACAATATATACAGCAGACATTTAAACAGCTAGTAACGTACTGACATCCACTTTCGCGGATGGCACATTCTAGGAAGCCGTCGAAGAATGGCTAGCCGACTGGCGTATAAACATTAATTATCAAAAATGCAAACATGTTACATTCTCTATAAGACCAGAAACATGTCGGACAATTAAAATAAACAGTGTTCTATGTAGTACCCCAAGCGAATGAAGTAACATATCTTGGGATTCACCTGAATTGAATTCTCACGTAGCGAAAATATATAGCAAGTAAAATAACTTGAATGAAGTTAAGAGCAGCAAATTTAAATTTTCTTTTTAACAAAAATTCTAAAATTTGCCTAGACAACAAAGTCCTGTTCCACAATGCAATAATTAAACCGATTAGGATGTATGGCATTCAACTGTGGGGTACGACCTGTGCAACCAACATTGATATAATACAAAGGTTCCAATCTAAAGTGCTTAGTACAATCACGGGTGCACCGTGGTACATGCGTAATGTAAACATCCATAAAGATCTTGAAATTGAGAACAGCAGAGTAAGATATATTTCTGAACTTCGCGAACATCTCAATCCATTGCCTAATGCCTTGGCAAATTCCTGCAATCAAACACGTTCTTGAGTTTGTTTAGTTTTAAATAGATTTAAGATTTGAATACTTATTATTAGGCTTTACTAAGCATATTCAAAAAATAAATAAGTATTGAACAAAAAATGTGTATGCATATAAACCGTTTACCAAGTTTCGGTACAGACAGTCACTCGGATTTTAACTTGTCTCATCAGCCTGATCATTTATAACCTAACTAACTAATCTAACTCAATTGTTTTTAGACGAAATAAACAACAACATTACACTCTGTATGAAAATGTTTTAACGAACATCAATACGAACGTGAAGGGCGTTATTGAATTATTATAAATAAGTAGAAGTGTAATATAAAAACTTTCCAATTACGCACAAAACTGTTTTGTAGAAAAAAAGAATATAGCTCTACTAATACTTATGTAATTGTTGCCCAAAAAAATCATCGAAATATAAGGCTACTCGCATCTAAGATTGCTTAAGGCCTTGCGAGACTGCACATTCGAACTTGAAATATGTGTAACTCACAAATTTCACAAATTCATTTATATATGTATATACAATATATAAGAATATTTGCACTGTAATTTATATACTTTTATTTTATTCAATTTCAAAATGTCTTTCAGTTAATTTGAAACAAAGGCAATGTTTTTAAGGAACTAGTTTAGTATGTAGTACAAAAAGGGAGAAATGTATTGTAAAAAGTCTGTTACAAAAATTCAGCAGAATTATTATATTGAACACAGTTTCATTAAAATTTTATATTTAGTTTTGTAAATTTGTATTGTTTGAGCCATTTCACACATCTTCAACATCATTTTCTTCGACTTCGGAAGTGGCTTCAGTATCAGAAAGTTCATCAATCCGAGTCGACAATTCAATAATAGGTTCTCCACGATATTCTTCGACAGGAGTCAGCGGCTGTTCAATAATGGGTTCAACTCCAACTTTGGTCGTATCACCTAAGTCTTGCGAATTAATTTGATCAGTTTGTTGCATAACATGCAATTCTTGTGACGCAAGTTTTGCTTCTTGGCGCGCTATTTCCGCTAGTTCTGCAGCTTGACGAGCCAATTCTCTCTCTTGTTCCTCGTCCGCTTGCTTTTCGATTTCTGCTAGACGGATCATTTCTTCCTCACGATGTCGTTTTTCCTCTTCTAAGCGAACTTCCTCGGCTTTTCGACCCACTTCTTCTGCTAGGAGTGCTTCTTCAGCTAACCTATCTTCTTCAGCTTTCTTCAAACGCGTTTCTTCAGCTAATCGTGCTTCTTCAGCTAATCGTGCTT